TAACCAGATTATAGCTACGGGTAAATGTCTAGTTTCCATCTGCAGTCCCTGATTTAGATTTCGTTTTAGAAGTTTAAAATGCCAAGGTTCCCACACATTTCTTGAACAAATTTTCCAGGACTTTTCCAAAATATTTTAACTACGTAATCAGGAGATCTACACTACACGACCAACAATTTCTAATAAAATGTCGTCCCACAATGATTCGCAAATGAATTAAATACAATTCCATTCACAAATTTACCGTAAATTCCGGACTATAAGACGGTACTTTTTTCTCACACTTTGAACCCTGCGGCGAATAAAACGATGCGGCGAATATATGGACGGATTCTTTGTTTGGCACATTGTTCGTTCATATATACGGTCTATGGTTTGGTAACACAGCAGATACAAGGAGCCTGAGTGCAGAAAACGCCGCTGTGTGTGCGATTTACACATGGATCTAGGGTTCACGTGAAGTTGCTACACTAATTCGCGATATTATCAGCACTAAAAGAGTTTATCGGCGTGTGATAAAATAAGTTCTGATGCTAAATGAACCTTAGTGAGGGGGATACGTCGTACTCGTGTGCGTAAATGACGAGAAGAAACGTCTTAAACTTCAGTACATGCCGAACATCCACTCATACCTGATTGATAAAACTATCCCCGCCCCCGCGAGAGTCTGAAATCTGCTGAAATCCTCTAAAACACTGACATGATACAGACAGAACAGAGGCTCTTTCTGCAGGAGACATGCGCAGTAGAGAGACGGCGTGATGCGCAGAGGAAGATTCTCGTTTGATTGTGTTTTGAACAGTTATTTTGCGCTTCATGCACACACCCTCCTCATGGAAAACACACAAAGAAATACAGGTGATGCAGCTTTTAAGTTAAAGGCGACTGATGTGGCTGCGGAAGAAGGAAACAGAGCTGCTGCACGTGAACTCGGCGTCGATGAGTCGATGGTGAGACTTCGGCGACGGCAGCGTGACGAAACTGACTCAACGCAAAAAGACGAGAAAAGCTTTCAGAGGCGATAAAAGCAGACAGCCCGAACTTGAAAACGTTCTTGAAGACGTGGACACCAGCGACTTATATTCAGGTGTGGCCTATATACGTACAATTATAACATTTTGTTAAAATTCAGCTGATGCGGCTTATATTCAGGTGCGCTCAATAGTCCGGATTTTACGGTAACCCAAAAAATGTCTGTTAAAACTCAACTTAAACAATGTGAAATTTTGTGCAAAAGATGTGTAATTTCCTACATTTTAGTAAGTTTTAGAGGTTCTTCAAAATCCCAAGTGCTCTTTTTTACTGTGATGGCAATAAAATAAAATAAAAGGGGAGACTAAATGTGTATTCTCCAGGACATTTGACCCTTTTTCTAATTTTCCATGGTTCCAGGATTTCCAGGATTTGTGCGAGAAACCTAAACGTGCTGTTGAACTGACCTGATTTGTAGATCTTGCTGATTTCCCGAATTTCAGCGTTGGAGCGAGAAGACAGGATTTCAATGAGACAGGCCTCGTCAGTCCCAGCCCCCTAAAACATAAAGGAGTGTAACAAAAACGTAAATATTCTGATCTAGAATCGTCAAAAGTCTCCCAAGAATATCGTAGACCATCACAATAAATCATAAATATTAAGTTTATTTGCTTAAATTTATTGTTATAGTGCAGTGTGAGCTAAAAAGAACACAGGGAACTACATAAACCATGATGCTTTGCTCTGTTTTATGTTATTTAGCACTTTGAAATCTCAATTAGTTGGATTGTTTGAACTTGATAAGACTTTAATTCTGTCATAATCCAACTAATTAAGATTTCAAAGCACCAAATAGCAGTTATTTTTCATGTAATCTGCGCTGAAATGGAGCAAAGGATCATGGTCTATGTAGTTCCCTGTGTTTTTTTAGCTTATGCTGCACTATAACAATAAATTCAAGCAAAGAAGACAGAATCAAAGGCATTTTACGAGGAAAAAGCAGCATATTCACAGCTCCGTTATTCTCCAATTCAACTAAAACAATGGTTGCATAACATTTACGCTCACTACAGGCCTGAACTTGTTTTCTCCATGTTGTGATTGTGACATCGATGTTTTTTTTCCCTCTCTGCTGTTATGATTCAAACTGAGGAATAAACTGACCACAAAACCCCAAACTAGAATTACTGCCATGTGACCGTGTTCCACAGGAAGATCTGAAATATATCTAATTTAATGCATTAAAGGGAGTTTTCTAAATTTTAAAATGTATAAGCGTCACACATCGGATACAGCACTGCTAGCTTGTATCAAGTTGTTTAAAGTAATTTGTTAGGTGAAAGATTTCAAAAAAAACTGGGCGCTGGTGAGTAAGACATGGAGTAGGACGCATATCTCAGAGCTCCTGCAAAATCCGTAATATTATTTCATAAAACAGCCACTTTTGAACTGAAACGTGTGCAACAGACTGGAGTGACATCAGACGAAGTAGGAGAACGGATGGTGTTTGTGAGTTGATGGCGGAAAAGCTTCAGAAATACAAATTCTGCGCAAGCACTAGCAACCAAGCTAATCTAGCGAGGCCGGGGCCTGTAACGAGGACAACCACGAGGTTAGCTGTGCAGGGCGACGCACGCACGGATACGGACCAACCCTCACCCACCCCGAGTGAAAGTCCAGGTATGACGGCTGAGGACTTAAAAGTGGAGATTTTGGCGTCCCTGAGAGCTGACATTAAAGGAGTAATAAGAGAGGAGCTCAAATCAGCGTTAGCAGAAGAGCTAAATGTACTCAAGAACGATTTGCAAGGACTTAAAACAGCAGTGGCTAAAGATACAAAAGCTATCCGTGATGACTTGGAGCTCATAAAGACAGACGTGCAAGATGTGAAAGGGGGGTTATCAACATGGTCCGATGAAGTATCATCACTGCAAGATACAGTGACCAACCTCAAGAAGGAGTTGAAGTTTATTCGGGATAAATGCGATGACATGGAGGGCAGAATGAGGCGATGCAATATACGCATAGCAGGAATTGCGGAGGCTAACCCCAGCTCTCCAAAAGCTGTTGCTAGCGCACTGAGAGAGATGTTACAACTCGATCGGGACATGAAAGTGGACCGTTCACATCGTGTGTTTGGGAGTTCAAAAGATCGGGAGAGACCACGGGTGATAATTGCAAAAATGCATGCATTATGATGAGGACGCTGCGGAGATCCTACGGAAAGCCCGCGACAGAGCCCCGCTGTTTTACAATGGTCAGCGCGTGTCGATATTTCCAGACTACACCGCTAGTGTCGCAAAGGCCAGAGCTGCTTTTTCAGAGGTGCGAGGAGCACTACGAGGACGGAGGGACGTACGCTACGGTCTGCTTTTTCCTGCCCGTCTCCGAATTACGTACAAGGATGAGAGTAAGGACTTTTTGGACCATCGGAAGGCCATGGACTATGTCAAGCGCATTCTCCCAGAGGAGCGGCCGGAGCCAGATGACTGAATTCATCCAAGAGCGTATGTAACAACAAAAGCTATGACATTATTGTCAGAAGGCCATAAGGACTGATACGGGTTATTATCAGTATTATATTATTATTACTATATCCTACTTTATCTACAATTTACATTACGTTATTATGCAGGTTATACTTTTGCCAATATTTATCACATGAATATGTGGAAGTAAAGAGCTGTGGTATTTATTTCACTGCAGGAGCCTGGGATATTGCTCTTTTTCTTTTTGTTTCAAATTTGGTCTACTTTTATCTTTTGTTATTGTCTTGGCTAACCTTTAGGCACAGTCAACTTAAATCTAGACTGCGCACTTCTACTGCTTGTTGAGCAGCCAGGGACGAGTTTCCCCACGTATATTTTGTTATGTCTACTTTAAGTGTTTGTGATCAGTTTAGGTTCAGTGTTTTGGTTTTGATCCCCTTGTTCCCCAGGGATCCTGAGTTTAACGATCAAGCAACTGGGTTATCCTCTTTGGTTCAATTACATCGTTTAATTAACATTATTATCTGTGTTTGCTTTGTCCACTCAGAATGGTTACAATATTTCATCTCAATCTTAATATGGTTTATAAAAGACCAAGCCATTATCAACATCTCCGCTTCCTGTCCTCTCCCCCAATTAGTTGATTCAAATTTAGAATCTAGAGTGTGATGGGCGATTTAAGAATTGTAAGTTATAATGTGAAAGGACTTCATAATCCAATTAAGAAAAAGAAAATATTATGCCAGCTTAAACAACTTAATTGCCATATAGCATTTCTACAAGAAACACATTTATCTGATGCAGAACACGAAAAATTAAAGTCCTGGGCAGATAAGATATATTACTCCTCCCACAGATCTGGACGAAAGAAAGGGGTTTCCATACTTATCCACAGGCAGATCAACTTTACAAAAACCTCAATCCATAAGGACACTGAGGGGAGGTTTCTCCTAGTTAATGGTGTGATAGACGGTGTAGATGTGTCCCTTTTTAATGTTTATGCACCCAATGAAGATGAGCCGGGTTTTATTAGGACTTTGTTCAATACAATTCTACTGCATAGTACAGGGCTATTGCTGATGGGTGGGGATTTTAATTGTGTAATGTCTCAGCTTGCTGATAGACAACCACCCTCCAAGACATCAATGTCTAGAATGAGTAAAGCAGTCAAACATCATGCTGCAGAAGCAGGCCTAGTAGATGTATGGAGAAGCAAGTATCCGAGAAGTAGAGATTTCACTTTTTATTCAAACAGACATTTGTCTTATTCAAGAATAGATTATTTTTTTACCCCCAAAATAGATCTGCACAGAATTAAGCATATTGAGATTATGCCGATAACCATTTCTGACCATGCACCCATTTTATTACAATGGGATGTAGGGCACAGGTCAACAATTAAACAGTGGAGGTTAAATACTTCCCTCCTGAATGATACAGATTTTTTGTCCTTTATAACAGCCGAGTTTAAGGAATATCTCAATAACAACTCCACATCAGAAACTAACCCCTTAATCTTATGGGACTGTGCTAAAGCATATATCAGAGGCCGCATTATTTCATTTTCCTCTGCAAGAAAGAAAGAGAAGAAAGCCAAACAGCAGGAATTGGAAGATAAAATTAAAACTCTGGAATATAAACATAAACGCTTTACAACAACCATGATTACAAAAGAGTTAAATGCGGCTCGCAGAGAACTTAATAGTCTATTGTCTGATAAAATTGAAGGAAACCTAAGATTTACAAACCAAAGGTACTATGAGCATGGAAATAGAGCTAGCAAGTTATTAGCATTCAGACTTAGGAAGCAACAATCCTCAAACATAGTCCAGAAAATCAAATCCCAATCAGGTTTTGTCACAAAACCAAATGATATTTCAAAATCATTTGCAGAGTTTTATGAATCACTTTATAAAAATACAGGTACATGCTCAAACGAGACAGACCTTACAAGATACTTGGAGAACATTAATGTAACAGAATTGACAAACTTATCAGCAGAGGGTTTGGATAAACCAATTGAAGAGAATGAAATTAAGCAGGTTATTTCCTCTCTTAAAAATAATAAAAGTCCGGGCCCAGATGGCTATGTCAATGAGTTCTATAAGGTTTTTAAGGATTTGCTGACACCCTTGTTGCTGAACGCATATAGGTATGCACTGGATAAACACATTATGGCACCATCATGGACTGAGGCAACTATAATTGTAATTCATAAAGAGGGTAAAGACCCGACGGATTGTCAGTCCTATAGACCTGTATCTTTGCTGAATGGTGACCTGCGTATACTAACAGCTGTACTGGCCAGACGTGTTAACAAGATAATATCTCAAATTATACACCCTGACCAGACCGGTTTTATTACAGGACGATATTATGGAGATAATGTTCGGCGCCTATTAAATATAATTTCCCATCTGAAGGATAAAAAACTGGAATCGGTGATCATAACTTTAGACGCCCAAAAAGCATTTGATAGAGTATCATGGCAATATTTATTACAAGTACTAAAACGATTTAAACTTGGTCCAAATTTTATTAAATGGGTGCAGACTCTCTATACATCCCCACAAGCAGCAGTTAGGGTTAATGGGTGTAGATCAGAAAGATTCACATTAGAACGTGGTTGTCGGCAGGGCTGCTCTCTCTCTCCCCTATTGTTTGCCATCAGTATTGAACCACTTGCCCAGCTTATTAGAGATGACCAGAATATGAAAGGAATTATAATAAATGGAGAAAAGCATAAAATATCATTGTATGCTGATGATGTTCTGCTGTATCTCACTGAACCTACTTCAACAATTCCATATTTAAAACAGCTCATTAATCAGTATGGATATTATTCTGGATATAAGGTGAACATGGATAAAACAGAAAGCATTGATGTAAATAATGTTGTCCCTGACAATGTTAAACTTCAAAGTGGATTTAGATGGCCCAAGGATGGTATCAAATATCTTGGTATTAATATCCCGCCTTCTTTAAGTGATTTATATAAAGTAAATTACAGTAAAATTATAAGGAATATTAGCAATGATTTAGAGCGATGGACCTCTCTCCCGCTCTCTTTATTGGGTAGAGTTGAAAGTGATACGTATGAATGTTCTGCCACGACTTCTTTATTTATTCCAGATGATACCTGTGGAGATCCCTAAACAAACATTCAATCACCTTAACAAATTAATATCAGCATTTATATGGCAAAAGAAGCGTCCTAGAATTAGACTTAAAACCTTACAGCTGGCCAAAGCCGATGGTGGTCTTAAGCTTCCCAACTTTAAATTGTATTACTGGGCAGCCCAGATGAAGCCATTGATGGTGTGGATCAAAAATGATGCAGTAACTCGCTGGCTTAACATAGAAGACAGTATGTGTACAGATTCTTTGCGAAATCTGCCCTTTCTAGATACCCCTATAAAGGAAATGTCTGTTTGGACAAAAAATACTCTAAATGTTTGGAATAAAATACGATCCATGTTTAGGCTGTCTAAGATGCTTTCACCATTAACTAATATTGGGTCTATTAAAACATTTGTACCCAACAGATTAGATGTAGGATTTAGAAAATGGTCAGATTATAATTTAACACACCTATACCAGTTGATTAAGGACAATAAGATTAAAACATTTCAACAGTTGAAGTCAGAATTTGGCATTCCCAACACTGATTTCTTTAGGTATTTACAATTAAGATCATTTTTGACATCTCATAAAGATTGGGAAAAACTATTGTGCCCTGCTCCTATAGAGCAGTTCCTTGTAAAACAATTAAATAATGAAGATAAGAAAATTATCAGTAATCTATATCATATTTTATTGAATATGTGTAATAATAATACTCAATATATACGAGAGAGATGGGAAGCGGAGATGATAATAGATATATCGGTAGATTACCTGGGAACAGATATGTACAGAATCACATCTTGTTACAAATTCAGCCATCTGGCGAGAATTCAAGTGGAAAGTTGTTACCAGATTTTTCAGAACTCCAGAAATAACTGCTAAAATGGGTCCAATACATTCCGGCTCATGCTGGAGAAACTGTGGTGTGGTCAGTGCTAACCACACACATATATTTTGGCATTGTCCTAAACTGGATTTGTTTTGGAGGGAAGTTTTTGATGCCCTTAAAGTCATTTTTAATCGATGTGTCCCATCTACCCCAGTAGTAGCATTATTAGGAGCATTACCTGCAAGTATTGGCACACGAGATGAAAAATACCTTTTAAACATTTTACTTACTGCAGCCTTAAAATGTATAACCATTAGATGGCTCAAACCAGATCCTCCCTCTTATAACATATGGATTCAGAAAGTATGGGATATATACCAAATGGAGCAGATAACATATTCTTTAAGGATTCAAAAAAACATTTTTATTAAGCGCTGGAAACCTGTTTTACCTTTGCTAATACAGTAGAAACGACATGGGGCTTTTTTTTTTTTTTTTTTCTTTTTATAACTGTCTCTGATACATAAAGAGTGGATGTTTATGTTTAATTATGTCATTATTACCCGGTTGCTTGCTTGTTTCTTGTTTCTTTTTTTGTAACAAACCTATATTGTTTTAAAAAAAAAAAAATTGAAATGTTTTCATTGATTTTAAATAATTGTATTATTGCTGAAAAAGAAAATAAAAATTTTAAGTTCAAAAAAAAATAAAAAAGTCACTCTGTTTGGGGTAATTAAGTACAGGTAATTGTTTGCTCACTATGAGTCAGCATAATCAAATCTCTTTTGGCAGGAATCAGTTGGTCTAGGGACTTGGATATAAAAGAATGAGAACTTCGCACATCAATTACTTCAGACGGGCGCGTTGGGGAGAGGGAGCAAACCCAAGAACATAGAAAAAAATCCTGCACACCGTCTTGCAAATTGTGAGATTTATTCAAGGCCTAGTGCCGAAACGTTGCACGGTTTGTCCTAATAAATCTCACAATTTGCAAGTAAGACGGCGTGCAGGATTTTTCTTTTTGTATAAAACACAGAGACAAATCAGCGGTTTTGGATAAATCCACTGGGACAGGGGACACAGAGCTCAAAACTGGGTAAATAGGAACATCTGGTCACCCTGTGCAATATGTAACATTTTGGAGGAGGGTTAGTTTGTCTGAAATGGTCTGTCTCCGTGAAGACAAGTTGATAACGTCAGTAAAAACACATGTATTGAATTCATGCAAGAAACAAAGATACAAACCACCCACCGAAAAATATACATATGGGCCCGGTCAAGCAGAAGTAAACAGCAAGGCCAAAAATTCAAGTTAATGAATCTGATATAAAAATGTATTCAACAGATACATATGTACTCTAGTTTATGAAACTGTTTACCTTTTTTCTGTACCATTTTTGGTTCTAAAGTTCCATACGTTTTAAACAGACCATGTATGAAACATGGAACAAAAATTATTTCCCAAATTTCAAAGACCTGCAAATCATGTAAATAAATGGATGTATTTCATCATATCTTGTGTTATTCCATCTTTGAACTGTTGATGAAGGTACATGATTTTTCAAAAAAAATCTATTTAAAATGATAAAAATTTGCTTGGAAGGACTGACATATTTTATAGAAATAGTTTCCTTTCATTTTGAAGTAATATTAAAGTATTCGGTAGAAAAAAGTGACAAATTATGTAAAATCCTGCACCTTCTACTTGTTTGCACAATTTTCCCTCCGTTACTTTTCCCTCCGTTACCATGACCTTTCTTAATAAAAAATCTCATGACTCAAAAAGTAAGAGGTTTTTCAACCTAATCTTGTACCATATGGTAGAAAACTATATGAAGCAAATATTCAAACCAGTTTGTTAAGGATATGTAAGTGAGAACCAAGAGTTATCACTGTTTGGATTTATTGCCCAAAAAGTGCTGCATATTTCATTCCCTCTGTTACCGACATGAGTTTTTAAAATTTTTTGTCAACAACTTGAAAGAATATCACAGGTTTAACTTGACCCTGTTGGAGTGTTAACTCTTTCCTACATTCTGATACTTTACTTATTTCAATAGTCCCTCTAGTTTCTGAATAAGAGACATTTGAATGTAAAAAATCTGCCCCGTCTCCCTCCGTTACCAGACCCATAGTGCACATTTAAATGGGAAACATATGATATGCTAAACAATGCATCCATTATAAAGTTAGAATTTTGGTATTTTTGCACTCACCTTGATGGCTTCTCGGAGTTCAGCTGCGTCAAACTGAGCTGGAGTCATGAGCATGGCCAGCACCAGGTTTTCAAAGTTACCGGTCAGTTCAGATTTCAAGTCACGAAGTAAATCCTAAAAACACGAAAAAAAAAAAAAGATAAATCTCATTCAAACCCCTTTAAATAGAGGAATTATTATGTGGACTTTTATTTATGTAGTCAAAATACTAAACCAAAAATGTTTTTAAGTCAGAAGCCCCAAACAAATTCAATAATTGTCACTATAATTGTTACAGTTAAATCATAGCAAACTCCAATGAGACAAATTAGGGCAGAAACAGAAGTCTTAAATTCTACTTTCAAGACCAAACTGTGAATGATTCTGTGACTGTACATCTTCTGTTTATTGTTAATGTCATTGTTTTTCATGTATATAAAAAGATAATTATTGGAAAACAAAAAACAAAAACAAAACAATACTATATAACAACACACAAATTACCTTCCCATAAGTGGTTTTATAAGCTGCCACAAGAGGAACTCGCTGTTTGATGGTGCGGTTTCCAAGAAGTTCGATAATGGCGTTTTCATCAGTGCCTACGAGACGCACGAGAAACATTATCAGTATCATTTTACACTGGATGGACAGAAGTGCACATTAGTAAGATCTGTTAATCGTGTGCATGAGTAGAGCTGGAAGATTTATCTAAACTGAATCAAAATGGGAAACTGGCATCTTATACTAAAGGCCTCGACACAGACTACAGGCTTTTTCAGACTTAAAACGATTTTCAAAGTTCCCACTCTTTTTCCACTGAGAAACTTTCAAAACTTTTCCATGATGTTTTCATGACCTAAAGTGAATTTTCCATAACTTTACGGAACCTACATGTGAAGAATTGAGCAAACTTTTAGGGCTAAGGCTGTGTTTATATGATGACGGTCTGAACTAGGGATGGGTATTCGATTAAATTTTCTTAATCGATCGTCGGGAGAATTAACGATCGATTATCGATTAATCATTAACGTTTTTATATTAAAATTATCATCATTATTATTACTATCTGCACTACTGATCTGAATAAATAAATTCAACTTTACGACATATAAACCGTAACGACTCTAGAGCCACATCAGCCCGTTTGACATTATAATGTGTTTAATTCAGTTTGTGCAACTCTCACAGAAACGAAACTTAAAACCACATCGCTAATTTGCATAAAAAATTTGCGAAGATAAAACTACAGCTCTTGTGTCGCTGATGCGGTTCAACTTCTGTCAGATTAAAAGACATGACTCAGTGGAATACAGGTTAGTGTGACCATATTTGCGTTTGTCAAAACCAGGACACCGTACGGGGGGAGGGAGGTGGGGACTCGTCATCGACATTGCTCGACTCTCACCTGGCAAAGCTTTTTCCCACTGGACACAGAAACATATGTTCCTGCTTTGTATACACTGTGCACATGGACTCACACTTGTCCCGAACGCAACGGAAAGCGTTGAATTTCTTGTACAAATCATCGTTAAATACGCATTTGCACTTCGGTACGTTGCAGACTGACCAACTGTTTGTGTCTCGCTCCTTCTGAGTGCAGAGAGACACATGTAAGGACCCCTGTTCGGTCACGCTACGCACAGCAACCTGCATTCGTTTTTTTCGATGAAAATGAACGTAATCGATGAAATTCTTAATGATCAATTATCGATTAATTCGACTAATCATGCCCATCCCTAGTCTGAACAGAAGATGCAAAAGTGGCGTCGCGTCTTCACTTTTTATTCAACGTTTAGACAAGCGTTTTCAAGAGGAAATCTGTGAGCATACGGTGACGCAAAAGTGTATGGAAATCAACTGGGTATGCACGCCGTCTGACTCGCCTGCGACGAACTGGTGCATCCAGAATTTGACAGAGGTGATTTCACATCCTACTCTGTTCACTAATAGTATCTTTGCAGATTCTGTACATTTGTTGGGAGCCTCCTGTAAGTTTAGAGCTTTACACATTGAAATGATCCGACATGTTTGTTTCTGTGTCCTGTATGAATGTGACGTAAACGTGTACGTGACGTGAGCAGATTTGACCAGAGTTTTGCGTCTTGGGCAGTGTAGACAGAAACACTACAGCGGAGCGTATTTAACTTTCCCACTCTGGAGGTGGTTTCAGATTTTTGCATTTCTAAAGGCACTTTCAATAAAATATTTTGTCGTTTTTATTGCTTTATTGTTGTTTGTAATACTTGTACAAAAAAACTGCAGTTACATCCCTATTATGGCTGCATGATTTGGGAAATAAATGAAACGATATGGTATCTATTTCAATATTTTGTGGAGGCAAAATTGTGAATATGCTACTTTTTCCTCTTAAAATGCCTTGACAAGACTTAAATCAAAGAACTAAGATTTAAAAGTCCTCAGAACTGTTATTTCTTCTTGTAGTTTGCACTAAAATGGAGCAAAGGATCATGGTCGATGTAGTTCCTTCTGATTTTTTAGCTATTGCTGCACCATTACAATGAATTTAAGTAAAGAAACTTGTGATTCGATATATTGTGATGCACCATGATATTATTGGGAGACTTTTGACGATACGATATCATGATATTTTGGTTGTTGTTGCACCCCTAAGCCATTATATTTCCAATAAAACATAACCATAAGTTGTCCATGTCAGCACAGATTTTCCATTAGAGCCTTGAATGCTTCTGTTGTCCGTTCAGTCATCTGGTTCTACGCTGGTCTAATGATGAGGCCCAGTTTTACCCCCAAACTATTATGAACCGGATTTCACAACATCCAAACATTCTCAAATCCCTGTGCAGCTCGTGTCACCCACATTCCCGGGAGTTGTGAAGCTAACTGAAAGCACTACTCTGCCTGAAGCTCTGTTACTTACGTTAGACTTTAATCAGAGCTTTGTTTTTGAACATAGTCTGACCAGAAAGAGCTTGGTTTGAACTAAAACAGGTGAGATAATTTGTGCGCTTTAACAAATCTCAATAACAATTTTTTTTTTAGTCACTCACAGTTTTGTTAAAAATCTAACTCCTAACAGGACAATGAAAGATCGTATTGACATTTTTGTACTTTTTCTTGAGTTGTCAGACCGTTTTAAAACTTTTGACAGAGTTTACTAATGTGTGCACTGAGTCACCATGGAAACAGCGGATCATTCCGCCATAGACAGACAAGTAGAACACCCCCAGTTTAAACTGACAGCTCAGAATTCTAGGGTCCTGTCCACACTAGTACGTATTTGAGTCGTTTTCGTTGTGGGTACAGTGTTCGTTCACACTAATCCGATGGAAAACGGCTCCAGAGACGGAACTATCTAGTGCCGCCAGCTCAAACGAATTCATCGGAGTACAGATCTGATCCGGCACTGTGTGGACACCTGAAAACGCTGATATGCTGATGTAGTTCTATGCACTGTGAAGTACCATATTTTTCGGGCTATTAGTCGCTCTGGATTATAAGACGCACTGTCATTAAATGGTTTATTTTCAAACTTTTTTCATAAATAAACCGCACTGGACTTTAAAGGAAACACAACAGTGTGATGGGTGAGTGTTTTTGTTTGTTTGTGGCGTTCACGGTGACTCTGGGCTTTGTTCAGTTGTGGCGTGTAGGGAGGTGCTGTCTGGGATCGCTGGATTGTCGGCGTGTTCGCAGTGACTCAGTTATTCAGTCGTGTCTAGAAGTGGCACACTAGACTCGCTTTTTCAGTTGGTTCCTCTGTTCTGTTCCTCGTCGGCGTGGAGTGATGAGTGTGTCTGTGAGTGTTTTTCGCCGTGCGGTCGCTGTCTGCTCCTTGTGTGTTTGCGTGTTCTGCGGGCGGTGCGGCTTTATAGTTTACTGAAGTTGTGCTGGGACACCCGAGTGGATTCGTGTATAGGGCGCTCTGTCGTTTTTTGATGCGGTTAGAGGCTTAAGATCGCGTCTACTGGCCCGGAAAATACAGTAAATCACCGCCAAAACACTAAGAGGCTAGAATATATGTCCATTCATATATACGGTCTGTGTGTACGACCTACAGACGTATAATCTCTGAAAAGTTTAATATGAACCATCTCCAACATGATAGAAGCACAGAACAGGCTCACCATCATCAGCACATCCTCTGTCACAGAAAGAACACTCATATTCCACTGAGTCGAGTCCTTTAGTCCGACAGAAGCTGAACCGCATCAGCGCACAAGAAGCGAGCTGTTTTTTGAGTGCTTCGTTTATGCAAATTAGCCATGTGGTTTAAAGTTAAATTTCTGTAAAACGTAAACAAATATGCTCAAAGCTGTGTGGATAGGGAAGGTTTGCGGACACAGAAACGACGTGTTTGGACGCAGATCGTTTCCGATACGGTAATTCGGTGATTAGCTTCAGTGTAAACATCCTCTAGGTCAGATTGCAGATTTGTTGACCAAACAAACACTGACAAAAACTGGCACAAAGTTCAACGTCTTCTCTGTCAGAATTAAAAAAACAAAAGTGAAGTAATCTTTTCACAATAGTGTCAGAAAGTGGCTATTATTCAACCCCAAAAAGGTGATTGTTGTCAGCTGAAAGGACATAAGATTAATATGACAAGTTTGTGGAGCCAATCCCACATAAATAAAGAGTTAAATAGAGTTAGAGTTAAATAGGTTCCTGCCCTCAATCGGGAATCATGACATCAAACTCTAGAAAGTTAGTACAAAATAAAATAACTTACCAAAGCCCTTCATAGCTTTCCGGAGCACCTCAACATCTTTCAGTGGATCTGCTCCAGGGAAATCTTTCATTGAACCTCTGTATCCTTTCTGAAAGTATAAAATATGAAAATATATTGTTAAACTCTTGACATTTTAGATACATTTTTTTGAATTATATTAAGACAAATGTATTTATTAACAGATGTGGACAGTAACAAATTAGGAACAGTCACGTTACTCTAAATGAATGACTTATTTTGGTGATAACTGTACTTTTTGAGACATTTTTAAACATTTTCTTGTACTTGTAATTCATAATCTAACCATGTAATTGTGGTTAATTACATTTTAAATCAGAAGTCCCCCAACCTGTAACTCGGAAGCCACCAGTAGCTCACCAAACAATTTCTGAATTATAGGTTTTGAGCTGAATAATAAAAATTTGATGAAAAGAATGACTAATAAAATTGTAAATGTATAATTTTCATGCCTAACTTTCCTTTCTGCAGTAATAAATGGATGATGGTGTATGTTTTATAAACCTCTAACTGTTCCCATCTAAGGCTGTGGTTCTTATATTTACTCAATTTGTTGCGACCGCTAAAATGAGCAGCTCTCTGGCATTTTCGTTTTGTAAAGGAGCTCACTAGAGGAAAAAGGTTGGAGACCCCTCGTTCAAGTTATAAAAGCGATTGAATACCGAGTTATGACTAAATTCACTTTTTGACTGAGCAGGTTTTGTATAAAAATGTGATCTATAATGCTTTTTAAGTTGTGTTAAATGCAACTAGACTTTTAATTTTAAATCTAATAAGTAGTAATTAGTTTTCACGCTTCCTTTTTACTTTTATTTAGGTCAAATTTTAGGAGCGGTACTTGTATTTTTAATGAAGTACATTATTATGGTTATATAAGTAACTGGTAGGGGTGGGATGCAACATGAGACACAAGATTGGATCTATGAGAACGAGAAAAGACGAGATTTTGACATTCTTTATAATAAATAAATTGCGCACTTCTTTTCCCAATTTTGGCCTCACCTTTTTTGATTTACTTATCACGTATTCAATATTTTTGCTGTCATTGTAGCTCTGCTTTTTGGGATTACTGCTTCTTAAAAAATGCAACTCACCAAACTCAATTTTTTTAATCAAATCCAAACGTAAAAACATTGGGAAAATATTTCATGAGATCATTTTCAGCAGGTGTGGACGTTTGTCTCGTGAGATCTTGTCCCATCCCTAGTAACTGGTCTTTTGCTTTTACTTGAACACATATTTTCTACTCTCTTTCCACCACTGTTAATGAATCTGTGGTAAGTTGAATTGTCTCACAGGGATAGCAGGAACATGTGGTTGTTGTCCTCCTCCGTAGCCCGGGTTGGAGGGACCAGGGCCTGCTGGGTAATTCGGCATCGGCTGTCCAGGAGCAGGGCCGGTGGGGTAACCCTGAGGAGCGCCACCTGGCTGTAAACATAAGGTAATCATTTAGTTTAAAGACTATATTAAGGCTTACCGTATTTTTCGGACTATAAGGCGCACTTAATATCCTTAAATTTTCTCAAAAATTGAAGGTGCGCTTTATGTATTAATTCTGGTTGTGCTTACTGACCTCGAACAGATTTTATGTGGTACACGCTGCTCAAAAATCCGTCAAAATGTTTTCGTATAACTTTGGTAAGATACAAAGCTGCACCACTTGATGGATTGTTGGAGCATTACAGCCACAGTAGTTAAGGGCCTCGCAAAGTAAAGGGCGAAGTATAGTTCTGCGTCGAGTCAATGCACAGTGCCGCCGTCGTCTTTTCGCAGAGAGAACACTCATATTCTACTCAGTCGTGTCCTTTAGTCCGACAGAAGTTGAATCGCATCAGTGCAGAAGGAGGAAGCTGTTTTTTTTTCAGTGCTTTTAGTTTATGCAAATTAGCCATGTGGTTTTAAGCTTTGTTTCTGTAAAACGTAAACAAATGTGCACAAAGCTGCATTAAACACATTATTAGTCAATGTATATTTGAGTCAGCTTGGTAGGAAATACAAAAAACAAACTTAACATTCACATTCATAATCCACATTCACCAAGACAGGGAGGCAACGCCGGGCGAATTACACCACAATCTGCCGATGGATCGTGGACGCCTGGACTAAGGGATCAGTCTCAAGTGTCATCTGTTTTTTTCGATTAATGCGCCTTATAATCCGGTGCGATTTATGTATGAAAATAGACGAGAAAATTCAACATTACTGATATTGCGCCTTATAATCCAATGCGCCTTATAGTCCGCAAAAGACGGTAATTAGTACTAACAGGCATAATAAGTGCTTAATTATGTTTGTGTTAGTATTTATAAAGTACTTAATAAAAACATAGAAATAGACATAATTATGATTTAACATTTTTCTTCCAATTAAAAGTCCTACATTACAAAAAAATGTATTCTTGTGAGCTTTAAGCCATGTTATAATGCTGTTACCTCCTCAAATACAGACCTGGAGTTGTGTTTTGTTTCATTCACATGTTTGAGTAACTCTTTATTATTACTCTCTCAACATCTCCAAAGCTCAAAATGCACTATTCCACGTTGTGATGTCATGTAATGGTAGTTTTCAGGTTAATAGCTGCCTTTTACTTTAAGTTCAGTAGAGATTTGAAGTTTCAGGGCTGAAATTGTCCAAATAATTCTGTATGTATAGTGTAAAAACTTGAGTAAAGTCCATGTATACATTAGCACTTGGCTCTGGCCGCATGGTGTGATTAGACTGGACTTACCGGCCCATAACCACCTGGAGCAGATCCCCAGCCTCCTCCTCCTCCTCCACCTGGAACAACAATATTTACACAACTTTGTTAAAATGTCAAACCAGTGATGCCCCTTTACATTTAGTGAGTACGCTTTTAATAACGTCTTTAATAACTCAAACTCAGGATCCAATTATAAAGGAAGTTGTTGGAGCAAATCAGACTGTATACCACTACTAATACTACTCAGAAGATATTTGTTCATTATAGAAAAATACCTCAAAGTGACATAACGGCTCAAGTTACGATTCATTTCCCTTTAATACAGGAGACTATGGTGGCCCCCCCATAATTAAAATTCTTCCCACCAGTTTAAAAACAACCTGGACTATAGTGGATTAACAAAATTAGACTTTGTTGCTCATTGTATTTTTATAACTTATGACCTATTGTAGCTTTGTGGTTTAACAGAGTTTAAATTGCAATAACTTCTCAAAATGGTTCCAGAGTTCTATTTATAAAAACTACTGAATAAACAGTTTGTATGGGACAGATTACAGCTCTGTGGGAGTTTGTCACAGGCTAAAGTTCAGCCTCACGCTCACATGAGGATGACTCAGTCCGGTCCGACTCTGGTCCGGTTCATGTGTTTGCATTTTCCACATGTCATAATGTTTCCATGACAACAGGCCGAAAAGACAAACAGAGGGAAGGGAATCCCGAAGGAGCAGAGCCAAGACTATTTTAACACAAACCAGAGGACTGATGTAAAAGAAGTTTATGAGTTTTAAACTTGACATTAATGAGTCAGATGATTCAAGAATCTAAACACTACACACTGTATCTCACATATTTTACATCAGTCTACAACAGACACATGCATGAAAATGATCACATTAAAGCCTCATGGTGGCAGTGCTCCTCAGACTCACCTGCAGGGGGCATGGCGGGGAACCCTCCTGCTCCAGGCTGCTGTGGGTAACCTCCTGCTCCAGGCTGCTGTGGGTAACCTCCTGCTCCAGGCTGCTGTGGGTAACCTCCTGCTCCAGGCTGCTGTGGGTAACCTCCTGCTCCAGGCTGCTGTGGGTAGCCTCCTGCTCCAGGCTGCTGTGGGTAGCCTCCTGCGGGGTAACCTCCGCCGGCCTGAGGGGGGTATCCTCCCCCTGGAGCGGGGTATCCACCGGTCTGTGGAGGGAAGGCTCCAGGGGCAGGGGGGTAACCCCCGGGGCCAGGGGGGTATCCTGCCTGGGGAGGGTAGGCTCCTCCTGGGTAGCCGCCCTGAGGGGGGTATCCACCTGCCGGAGGGTATCCGGGGTAACTCATCTCAAACCTGCGGGACGCAAAAGGGGATTTTGTAAATTTCACAATGACAAAAGAAGAACAAAGTGTGTGAAACTTTGTACAAGTTCCTGAAATAAATGACATAAAATACAGTTCTTCTTACACATGACACAATATCACACAGAACTAGGCTCTGATCTTTACTCACTTTCTTTTGTCTTGAGTGACCGATTTAATACGATTTTATTTCCAATGTTTACACACAACTCGAGAAGGAGAAACACCCGTCTGTGTGAAACAGGTTAAACTATCAACAGAATGTAGAAGCAGAGAACCAATCAGACTAAACTATGACGTGAACAGGGAACATTTCTATGAAGCAGACAATACAACAGATAAAGTCCTCGAAACACAGTTGAGCAACGTTTCCTTGAATGACTTAGAGACACGCCCACTGAGCATGTGCAGTCATTATAACCCACTGCGGCCTTTGGGTGTCACTGGAAAACATGGAGTTCCACTGCACTGACAGTTTCCAAAGGGAGTCCCCCTTCTGGAACCGAACACTCCCGGTATTCATGCCAAGTTACTTATTAAAACATTTACAACCACTTCAGTACAAGATAAGAAATCCACTAACCTACAGCCTAAAAGCACGAGCAAAATTACAGCTTTTCACAGCAGCCTGGGTGAAACTAAAGACCAAATTAAAGGTGTATTATGTAACTTTTCTGGTGGAGGATTTGCAACTTGCTGGTCTCCTGCTGCTTCCCCAGGTTTTTCAGAGTAAAGCAGTAATTATTCTTATCTATGGAAACGAGCAGGCGAGACAAGTGAGCCAACTTACAGATCAGATCTATGTAGAGTTCATAGCGAGAACGCATAAACACTAGTTAGTTTAATGCCATACTGTGGAACATTGCTGGCACAACATATAGATTTCTCCATGAGTCAACCAGATGCCTGACTCTCCGCCATAAATATTACGTAATGCACCTTTAAAGAGCTTATAGATAAAACATAAAGTAGATCACCTTTGAATTCTCTTTATTACAAATACCAAGAGTTAGTCGATTTGTAATTTTCAACTAAAACAACCGATGTGGCATGTTTAAATTGACTCTTGTGCACTTTAAGCTGTAACATACCTGGACTTGAGTTTGTTTCATTGACACATGCTTGAGTAATGCTGGTTTATGACTCTGCCCACACTTTTACAACTCAAAAATTTAAATTCTCTCCAGCGATAAGGTCAGGAATCGGAATACACTAGACGGTTCGCAAGAATTTTGGAAGTTGTAGACCGTCCAACTCAAGCGGTTAGCAGCAGCAATTGGTTAAATAAAAAAGCACCCGAATACTGTCAAGCGAACGAATCCTAATGATGTGCGGTCAGACGGTTTCCACGAAGTGAAACCGTCTACCTTGTGATGTCCTGAAGCCGTAGTTTTCAAGTTAACAGCTACATTTTTTACTTTAATTCAGCTGCGATTAGGAATTCAAGCTCTAAAAATGCTCCAAATGATTCAAGTGAAGGTGTGTGGAGTTAAAAACACAGTGCAGCACTTCCTGTATCACCGCATGACATCACAAGGTGGAATAGATGGAGTGTTTTTTTCAGTTTGAGAGAATAACAAGCCTAATTACGCATGGTTTTTAGTGTGAAACATGTGTAAACGAGCAAAACACAACTCTGGGTATGTAAAACATTAAAAAAGATCAGAAAATAGTGAAACATGGGCCCTTTAAAACCACCTCGTTGACAGCATCCCATTCCCGGGCCTGTAACATGCGCATCCACTGATTTTCTTTTATTTAATCTTGCATATTCGCTTTAACTTTTTTGCATAGACTTGAACAAAAGCCAATTTATAAGTTTAATCTTGATTTCACGGCCTTTCTCGCGCTGCAAAACCCCATAGTAGCAGCTTATTCACCTCAGCTTTACCGTTAAGCTAGCATCAATTACGTTAGCGACAAAACTCTTCCAAAACTCGCATTTAATCGCGAATAAACTTGTAAAATCACGCTTTGTGGCGTGGAATAAACATCAGCAACGCGTTTGCAACCTCTGGCTAATTATTTAAGCGGAAATACAAGTTTTATGAGGTCAAAACAACCAGCATTTTAGTCGAAGCAAAGTAAGCACGCGATGTCCAAAACGTGTGCGTGATCGCTGTGCGTAAAAGAGGAAATTCGTCAAAACTGCAAGATGTAAAGTGTAAAAACGTGAAATTATGTGACTTACTTGGTAGAAAAGGGCGTCGGGATAAGGAAGAGACGAGCAGGGAGTAGCAGAGGCGAGCAGCAGCGTAGTTAAAAGGGGCTGGGCTTGTTCGTATCTGGCCGGGTTTGGCTCAGAATGGCCCGGAGAGAGAAATGTGGGCGGGTCTCGTCTCTCCCGGAGCATTGTTTCCGCTCTCCCCGCTGCAGCAGTAACCTTTGGTCGGTCACTGGAGCTCAGAGTGCGGCCTGATGTGGAGGAGACACCGCATTCTCGCCTCCAGGTGGTAGTAAAGTAAAAACAACCACTGGGGAAGACCTTTATCTCTCCAAACGACAGGTTAATAACAAGCAGTGTTGGGAAGATTACTTTTATAGATTACAGATTACATATCCCAAAATGTAGTTTGTAACGGAATCCATTAAATTACTTAAAGTGAGTAATGTAATCTGAATACTTTGGATTACTTGATTTGCTGTAGAGAAGCAAAGACGAGGAAATCGTAACATAAGATGTAGTTTTGTCTGCTAAAAGAAAATAAAAAGCCCAGACTTTACTTAACTGTATTAAAAATATTATTGATAGAAGAAGAGGAGACATGGTCTATGCGGCATTGTTTAGGTCTGTTAAATCCTGTTTTAGACCTGGTTTAGACCTGGTTTAGATCTAGTTTAGACCTGGTTTAGATCTAGTTTAGACCTGGTTTAGATCTAGTTTAGACTTGGTTTAGATCTAGTTTAGACTTGGTTTAGATCTAGTTTAGATCTAGTTTAGAACTGGTTTAGATCTAGTTTAGTCCTGGTTTAGACCTGGTTTAGATCTACTTTAGACCTGGTTTAGATCTAGTTTAGATCTAGTTTAGTCCTGGTTTAGACCTGGTTTAGATCTAGTTTAGATCTAGTTTAGAACTGGTTTAGATCTAGTTTAGACCTGGTTTAGTCCTGGTTTAGACCTGGTTTAGATCTAGTTTAGACTTGGTTTAGATCTAGTTTAGATCTAGTTTAGACCTGGTTTAGATCTAGTTTAGACCTTGGTTTAGATCTAGTTTAGACCTGGTTTAGATCTAGTTTAGACATGGTTAATCCTGGTTTAGATCTAGTTTAGAACTGGTTTAGATCTAGTTTAGACCTGGTTTAGTTCTGGTTTAGACCTAGAACAGATTGGACTCATATAAACCCTGAGAAAATGTTAAAATATAAATTCCATGAGAGTATTTGTACAATCAAACTATGAGCTGATTTAATGCATATTTGTGAATTCATAGAACTTGTGATGTACAAACATGGACAAAATTGTTGGTGCCCGTCTGGTAAGGAAAGAAAAATCAACAATGGTCAATGGTCAATGTTTATTTTTAAATAATTACTTATTGTGATATATATCCTGGATGATTATGAAAATGTCATAATTTGTTTGAAAAAAATCTGATATACATCACAAGTTAAATGACTGTCTTGTCTCTGTATCTAATATCCAATATCAAACCAAGTCAACTGCAGTTATATTTATTAGGGTGACCAGACGTCTCTATTTGCCCGGTGTCCCCTGTACCAGCAGATTTATCCAAAACCACTGATTTGTCCCAGTTTTATACAAGAAATGTCCCATGTGTCCCTATTTTTAACCAATTTTATACCTGCCAACAACAAACAGAGGCATAAATTGTCATTTGTTTAGGTAAAATATAGAAAAGCTGCGTAAAAATGACCAAAACACAAAGAAAATGTGACTATAGTGACTCACATTAGTGCAGTATTCATAACAACTTTCCTTAATTACGCTTTCGTTTCACAATTTTATGATTACCAACCACCACAACCAGGGATGTCCCAGTTTTTTATTTTGAAAATCAAGTCACCCTACTATTTATACTAGTTTTCATAATTTTAATTCACGGTTTTCAGTCAGTTTATGTGTTTTCTTTCAATCAACAAACCAATCAGTCTTTATTATTTATTAACCCTTTACAACAGCAATAACTGAACCAACGTGCTTTAAATGTGCAATAAAATATGTAAACATAAGTCAAAGTCTTAAACAAAACTAAAAATAGAATATACAATGTTTGCCCCATAATATAAAACAACCAATAAATCAATAAACTTGGATTAAAAATATACAGGCTACTTTTTCTGTTATACTTGATGTAACTTTAATCTAAATCAGTCCATTTTAGGTTTATTAGTAGACGGGGGCCAATATGTGACAGGTATAGAGCTACCAAAAATAGAATACAAATCAAATAAACTTTTTAGGCTTAGACAAACTTTATTGAGCCACAAATGAAATTATTTGGACACAGTAGCTCACACATCCCAACATATAATATAATAACAAAGTAAAAAAATATAAATGGTAATAATAAATAAATACATACATAAATTCTACATAAGTTCTAAATAAAAAAGAAAAAAAATAGTAAGAAACAGGTGTCAGATAAGTCATAATTATATAAATGTATATGAAATAGTCAAAATAAAATAGAAAAATAGGTAATAAAATATAAAATCTCAGGTATATACAAAGTCATAGGAAGAAATTATGCAAATTATTTAAATAAGAATAAATTAAATTACTTAAAATAAGATCATATATCAGCTACAACTGTTTTACTTCGTTTCAGGTTTATAATAATGCTTAAAATCAAATATAATTGCATACTCCTAAGCTTGGTTGAAGACGTTTCGCAGTTCATCCAAGCTGCTTCTTCAGTTCTGGTCAGACGCTGGTGACACTTCTTTATATCTGCAGGGAGGAGCTAACTACACTGAAACTACACTGAAACTAACACATCTACTTGTTTACAGTTTCTGTTTGTTAGTTCGGCCTATTGACCTGTACAGGGTGTGGGGTCTAATTAACAGAACAATTCATGGCCATAATGGAGCTTCCACACCTCTGGACCTGACCTGGATACACCTGTTGTTCTCTTGTTTGTTTTGATTTAGGTTTGAGGATGGAGTTGTAAATAGGAGATAGATGGCGTCTGAGTCCATTTCTGTTTAGAGAAGGATTCTCTTTCTTTACAAAAATAGCTTCTTTCACTCCCCTCCCAAACCAATTCTTTTCTCTGGCTAAAATCTGTACCTCGCTGTCCTCAAATGAGTGACCCGTGGCTTTTAAGTGGAGATGTACAGCAGACTGAGGTCCACTGCTGCTCTCTCGTCCGTGTTGGTTCATCCTCTTGTGAAGTGGCTGTTTAGTTTCTCCAGTGTAGCGCTCACTGCAGTTTTCACTACACTGAATGGAGTAGACCACATTGCTTTGTTTGTGGCTCGGTGTTTTGTCCTTTGGGTGGATCAGGGTGAAAAAATGCATAGCACACTCGGTTGGCCGATGTCCAAATACTATTTTATTAACAAAATAAACGTTTCGGCAAAAAAAGCCTTCATCAGATATTTTTCTTGTCTTGGACCACAGCACACAAAATGGTTGCCAGCCCAGGTGCCCATATACCCACTCAATGAATGGGAGGTCCCAAAGTGAGGTCACCCAGTGAGTTCAGCCCATTCTACTACAAGAGTAATCTAGAGATGCTCCTGTCAAAAAGAGAGCACTTCTGGATTCACCATCTTAAAACTCTTACTCCTCATGGACTCAATGTGGAGTTTGATTTAAGATAGACAAACTATTTCTGTATTTTATAAAATGTTTTTTAATGTAAACTGTTGTTTCTTGTAGTAGAATGGGCTGAACTCACTGGGTGACCTCACTTTGGGACCTCCCATTCATTGAGTGGGTATATGGGCACCTGGGCTGGCAACCATTTTGTGTGCTGTGGTCCAAGACAAGAAAAATATCTGATGAAGGCTTTTTTTGCCGAAACGTTATTTTGTTAATAAAATAGTATTTGGACATCGGCCAACCGAGTGTGCTATGCATTTTTTCACCCTGATCTGGCTACTCCTTGCATTTGCACCTCTGCAGGAATCTTGGTGTGCGTTTTCTGTTTCTTTTTTCTTTTTTTTGTCCTTTGGGTGGACCAGTCTCTGTCTTAAAGTGTTCGTAGGTACAAGAGAACAACAGGTGTATCCAGGTCAGGTCCAGAGGTGTGGGAGCTCCATTATGGCCATGAATAGTTATACTAATTAGACCCCCACACCCTGCACAGGTCAATAGGCCGAACTAACAAACAGAAACTGTAGACAAGTGTGTGTGTTAGTTTCAGTTATTTAGCTCCTCCCTGCAGATATAAGGAAGTGTCCACCAGCGTCTGACCAGAACTGAAGAAGCAGCTTGGATGAAACTAACTTTTGTCCAATCGACAAACTGAATTTTCTCTTCGCCATGGATCCTACCTGGACAACTGAGGGATTCTTCACACTAGTCCTAAGTCTTACACTATCCCAAATGAGACACTAGATGGCGGCATTGAGTCACATCCAAGTGTATTTCACTTTCTTTCTTAAAAAATCATGGCTAAAATTGAGTACTTTTCACAGTTTGGGGACTATACAGGCTACAGAAATATGCAAATGCAAGTGAAATGATCTATGCACACTAACTGGCACAATGCGTAAATATCGGACGATTATAAAAGGTTTAGTCCTAGTTTAGTCCTGGTTTAGTCCTAGTTTAGACCTGGTTTAGTTCTGGTTTTAGTCCTGCTTTTAGTCCTGGTTTAAACCTGGTTTAGTCCTGGTTCAGACCTGCTTTTAGTCCTGGTTTAGTCCTGGTTTAGTCCTAGTTTAGACCTGCTTTTAGTCCTAGTTTAGTCCTAGTTTAGACCTGGTTTAGTCCTGGTTTAGACCTGCTTTTAGTCCTAGTTTATTCCTGGTTTTAGTCCTATTTTAGTTCTGGTTTAGTTGTAGTTGAGACCTGGTTTAGTCCAGGTTTAGACCTGGTTTAGTCCTGGTTTTAGTCCTAGTTTAGTTCTGGTTTAGACCTGGTTTAGTCCTGGTTTAGACCTGGTTTAGTCCTGGTTTAGTCCCAGTTTAGTCCTAGTTTAGTTCTGGTTTAGACCTGGTTTTAGTCCTGGTTTAGTCCCAGTTTAGTCTTAGTTTAGTTCTGGTTTAGTCCTGGTTTAGTCCTAGTTTAGACCTGGTTTTAGTCCCAGTTTAGTCCTAGTTTAGTTCTGGTTTAGACCTGGTTTTAGTCCTGGTTTAGTCCCAGTTTAGTCTTAGTTTAGTTCTGGTTTAGTCCTGGTTTAGTCCTAGTTTAGACCTGGTTTTAGTCCTGGTTTAGTCCCAGTTTAGTCCCAGTTTAGTCCTAGTTTAGTCCCAGTTTAGTCCCAGTTTAGTCCTAGTTTAGACCTGGTTTAGTCCTAGTTTAGACCTGGTTTTAGTCCTGGTTTAGTCCTAGTTTAGTCCTAGTTTAGTCCTAGTTTAGTCCCAGTTTAGTCCCAGTTTAGTCCTAGTTTAGTCCTGGTTTAGTCCTGGTTTAGACCTAGTTTAGTCCTAGTTTAGTCCTGGTTTAGACCTGGTTTAGTCCTAGTTTAGTCCTGGTTTTAGTCCTTCTTTTATACCTAAAAGTCATTAAGAAGTGGTAAAGTTGTAAAGTAAAGTCCGGATCGTGCTGCTGCTGCTGCTGCTGCTTCTGTCCCTCCTCCCTCCGTGACGCACAGATCTGCCCCGAGTTATGCCTCTGCAGCCGGGATAGAGTCTCGGCTCGGTCCCCTTATCTCCCCACCGCCATCTGCACGTGTGGAGACGTGTGCGCCAAGTTAAGGAGGGCGATGAGAGGCGCAAACTCGGACGCAAACTTCCCTCGCACGTCTTCGCACCACGACTAAACCATGATGTCCGCTGTAGACGCCGGTGCGCCCCCGTATCACCAGCCCGCCCATCAGCTCCTCAACTGGGTGTACATGTCGCTGCAGGACGCGCCGAGCCCCAGCAGCGAGTTTGGAGCCGACTCTTCCTCCGATGAGTCCAAACAAAGTGCGGGGGACACGAGCTCCAGCTACATCGGCGACTTTTTCCAACTGAGAAACCAGGTCAGTGAGGCAAATAATGGGCATTTAAGTGTTTTGTTTAAAGGTGCACTGCGTAACTTTTCTGATGGAGTTTTGGGTCAGTTTGTTTGATTTACAAGAATAAATTCTAGTCAAGTTCAAATGACTTGAATTAAGAAAGTTTTATCATGTTTTGAGTAAATTTCACTTGACAAACAGTGTTGGGGAGTAACAGATTACATGTACCGGAGTTACGTAATCAGAGTACAATTTATGAGTAACTGTATTCGGTTACAGTTACTGTTTCAGTGAGTGGTAATTGGATTACAGTTACTTTGTTGAAATAAATGGATTACATGGCAATATTGTAATGTTTTTACATTTTGGGCTATATCCCCCCTTTTTTTTCTGTAAGTTCATTCATTGCCGGACAATAAACCAGGACTAAACCAGGACTAAACCAGGTCTAAACCAGGACTAAACCAGGTCTAAAACCAGGTCTAAAACCAGGTCTAATCTAGGTCTAAACCAGGACTAAACCAGGTCTAAACAGGACTAAAACCAGGTCTAAACCAGGACTAAACCAGGTCTAAACTAGATCTAAACCAGGTCTAAACTAGGTCTAAACCAGGACTAAACCAGGTCTAAACCAGGACTAAATCAGGTCTAAACCAGGTCTAAACCAGGTCTAAACTAGGTCTAAACCAGGACTAAACCAGGTCTAAACTAGATCTAAACCAGGTCTAAACTAGGTCTAAACCAGGACTAAACCAGGTCTAAACCAGGACTAAATCAGGTCTAAACCAGGTCTAAACTAGGTCTAAACCAGGACTAAACCAGGACTAAACCAGGTCTAAACCAGGACTAAACCAGGTCTAAACTAGATCTAAACCAGGTCTAAACTAGGTCTAAACCAGGTCTAAACCAGGATTAAACCAGGTCTAAACCAGGTCTAAACCAGGACTAAACCAGGATTAAACCAGGTCTAAACTAGGTCTAAACCAGGACTAAACCAGGATTAAACCAGGTCTAAACTAGGTCTAAACCAGGACTAAACCAGGTCTAAACTAGGTCTAAACCAGGTCTAAACTAGGTCTAAACCAGGACTAAACCAGGTCTAAACCAGGACTAAACCAGGTCTAAACCAGGTCTAAACCAGGTCTAAACCAGGTCTAAACCAGGACTAAATCAGGTCTAAACTAGGTCTAAACCAGGAGTAAACCATGACTAAAACCAGGACTGAACCAAGTCTAAACCAGGACTAAAACTGTGAAAACAGGAACATACCGCTGTGTAATCCTTTTATTTCAACAAAGTAACTGTAATCCAATTACCACTCACTGAAACAGTAACTGTAACTGAATACAGTTACTCATAATTTATATCTGATTACATAACGCTGATAAATGTAATCTGTTATTCCCCAATGCTGAGCATAAATAATAATAGGAATAAATAGTTTAAAATATAAATAACATTGATTGAATCACCTGTTTGTCTGCTGCTGTTGTGTCCTTTGGCAAGTCTCTTCACTCATCTCTGTGTAGCCTGTTTGTGTGTGGGTGTGTCTGTGGTGAGTGGTTGGTGGTGGTTGGTGGCTGGAAGGGCAGATGGCACAGATGGGCAGCCTTTATTGGGTCAGTCGACCCCAGGGCAGCTCTGGCTACAATGAAAGAAGTCCTGGTTCAGTCCTGGGCACATGTTGTAGCCTGTGATTTAAGTTCTGTAGGTGATTTACGTTCTTTAGGTCGAAACGTTCAAACAAAGACTTCACGTTGATCGGTCAAACATCACAACAGGAGAACTTTAGTTAAATCTAGAAAAGCACAGGTGTTTTCCACAAAGTCCTTCCCTGTGCTTCTCTCTACAAAATCATCTGTATTTACACTCAAATAGGCTGAAGTACATCTGTCGGTGTCGCCATGTTTGTTTTGTGTTTGATTCTTACTTGGTCTGGTTTCTTTATCGACCGTACTGTCATTCTCACGCCTGGAAACACCTTTCAAACCAAACCTGCGCCATAATGTGACTGATGAGAATGAACTGAATGATGTTTTATGACATTATAAAGACATTCTCTTTGCATGTTTGATTTTATGAGCTATAACATCAACTGGTTTAGGGACTACAGGTGGATATTAGCACTGGCACTACCACTGTTGGGTAAGTTACTTCAAATCTGTAATGTGTTATTTATGACTTACTATCATTTTAAAGTAATTTGTTACTTCACAATATTACTGCATTTAAAATATAAGGCTTTACACGACTATTAAATTACTTTTACTCTCACCAAAATAACTGTGCGAAGATGCTGAACTTTTGCGCCACATATGGACTGAACCAGGACTAATCTTGGACTAGAACTTGGAATCTAGGACCAGCCCTGAGAGAACCCCGAGCCCGTGGAGCAGGGTGTACACAAAGCACAATCAGGTGTCAGTTCCAGTTAGCTCCATGGAGGGTGGAGTTCTGCGCTGGTCCTTTTGCCCACAGTTACCCGACGGTCTACACGGGCGCACCTCCAGTCCCGAGATTTGGAACTGTAACAATGGCGTTTCGCCGCTGCTGATTTCGTGGTGATTTTAGTGAATTTGCATTAAGAAAAACGAAAAACCCACCACTTCAATCCAGATTAAAAATGCATTGTAACGCGCGTTTCTGACATTTGTACCGAATAAAATATATATATATTTTTTTCCTGTAAAGCCTTACATTACTAGCCTGATTGATCAGCCAGTTTCATTGCTATTTGGTTGTGAAGTATGTAATGCACCACTAACAGGACTAACTGGTGTATTAAGCTTTTCCCAAATCCTGTAGGAAGAAGGACAATAACCTCTTTTCCCTTGATAAAATTCACCAAACATTCTCTTTGTTCCAGCTTTAAATCCTCGATTCTCGGGAATCGTTGCCAACACAGAATGTATGACTCTTCGCTGATTGGCTGGTGCCCAAACCCGCACTTCTGGGGTTCTTGTAAACCGTCTAGTGTATTCTGATTCCTGACCTAGTCGCTGGAGAGAAATGAAATTGAGCGGAGGCACTAGGTGGCACCAGCCTGAATATTACATTACTACATTACAGCAAAACCAATGCATTACAGTTATTCGTTATTTTTTTTAATGTGTATTGTGCACTGCCTCTGTCTCATTAAATAAACTAAACTAAGATAAATTAGGCAAAGCTAGTGCGTCTTTAATTTTACTGTATGTTTACCCCAGACTCTATACGGGCTTGATTAAATTTGCTGCCCATCACATTTTTGCTGGTTGTTTTGGCTCTCGTTGCCCTCAGCTCCATTGGCCGGTGGTTTGAGTCTATATGAATGAGCGCGTTGTACGGGGCCATACTGCTGTGTAAGAGACTGTCAGAGCTCCGGCCACAGGAGGCAAACTCAGAAACACTATTCTGAGAAAACTCTGAGGTTTACCCCAACTGGCCTTAGCTCGGGTCCAGAGGAGCCGAGATACGAGTCACATCACAGTTTTACGCACTTAATCCTGTTCAGATAGATCGGTCCAACATAAAAAATAGTCTAAAGGGCCCATGTTTCGTTATTTTCTGATCTGGAGTTGTGTTTTGTTTCATTCACACACGTTCAACATCAGTGTGTCCCAAACTTTTTTTCTGGGGACCCATATTTTAAAAGTCACAAACCTTTGCGACTCGAGTCAATAGACATTGTTCGTAAATCACAAAATAAAGTTGGATTTGACCATTATACTATTACATGTACCGGAGTTACGTAATCAGAGTACAAATTATGAGTAACTGTATTCAGTTACAGTTACTGTTTCAGTGAGTGGTAATTGGATTACAGTTACTTTGTTGAAATAAATGGATTACACGGTGGTATTTTCCTGTTTTCCCATTTCACATTTTGGGCTAAATCCCTTTGTTTTCCACTCATTGCCGGACACTAAACCAGGTCCAAACCAGGTCTAAAACTAGGTCTAAAACTAGGTCTAAACCAGGTCTAAACCGGGTCTAAACCCAGGTCTAAACCAGGTCTAAAACCAGGTTTAAACCAGGTCCAAACCAGGTCTAAAACCAGGTCTAAAACCAGGTCTAAACCAGGTCTAAAACCAGGTCTAAACCAGGTCTAAAACCAGGTTTAAACCAGGTCCAAACCAGGTCTAAAACAGGCCTAAACCAGGTCTAAAATCAGGTCTTAAACAGGTCTAAAACAGGATTTAACAGGACTAAACCAGGTCCAAACCAGGTCTAAAACAGGTCTAAACCAGGTCTAAAAACAGGTCCAAAACAGGATTTAACAGGACTAAACCAGGTCTAAATCAGGTCTAAAAACAGGTCTAAACCAGGTCTAAAAACAGGTCTAAACCAGGTCTAAACCAGGTCTAAACCAGGTCTAAAAACAGGTCTAAAAACAGGTCTAAACCAGGTCTAAACCAGGTCTAAACCAGGTCTAAACCAGGTATAAACCAGGTATAAACCAGGTCCAAAACAGGTCTTAAACAGGATTTAACAGGACTTAATCATGCTGCATGGACCGTGTCTCCTCCTCTTCTATCAGTAATATTTTTAATTTGGTTAAATAAAGTCTGGGCTTTTTATTTTCTTTTATCAGACAAAACTTCTTATGTTATGATATCAGAGTCTTTTCTTCTCTGCAGCAAATCAAGTAATCCAAAGTATTCAGATTACATTACTCACTTTAAGTAATTTAATGGATTACGTTACAAACTACATTTTGGGGTGTGTAATCTGTAATCTGTAGGGGAATACATTTTAAAAGTAACTTTCCCAACACTGACTATACTACATACTTTGCAGTGACATAGCGCCGTGGGGGTGTTCTACATGTATGGCTATGGCGTAGTGTTCGGCGGTTACCATGGTGACACAATGCCCACACCACAGCAAAGACTATCAAAGCAGTTTTAAGATATCTCGCATGGATTTAAACAATCTATTTTCAGAAGTCTGGGATTAATACGAGCGTTCGTGGTTCAGTTTAGGTCAGAAAAACAGAAATTTGTCCAGCCAAGTCAGTTATTTATGGTCAGATTGTGTGAAAACAAAGCTCAGATTAAAGTCTGACTTGAGTAACACGTCTTCAGACAAAGAAGATCAGTGTTTCCCCAAACTTTTTTTCTGGGGACCCATATTTTAAAAGTCACAAACCTTCGCGACCCGAGTCAACAGACATTATTCGTAAATCATAAAAATAAAGAGTGCCATTGTTAAAGATTAACGAGGATATTTTATTGTTGACTGAGTGATCGTGTCTCCCTGAACAATTAGTATTACTCAAGTTTTAAACAATGAAAAACCATGATTGAAGCAGCAATAAAAGGATCCATAAGTCGTCTATTTGGACATTAAATGTAGCCTGTTTCTTTTTCTTTTCAACATTCAATTGAATCTAGCTGGTTTCACTTGACCTCGCAGCATTAGGATTCGTTCGCTCAACGGTAGGCAGGTTTTTTATTTATTTATTTAACCAGTCGCTGTTATTTGGTCGTGACGTATGTAATGCGCCAAATCCCGTAGGAAGAAGGACAATACCGTCTTTCCCCTTGATAAAATTCACCAAACATTCTCTTTGTTCTGGCTTTAAATCCTCAATCTCGGGAATCGTTGCCAACAGAGAATGTATGGCTCTTCGCTGATTGGCTGGTGTCCGAACTCGAACTTTTAAACCAGGGGTGTCAAACTCATTTTGGTCCGGGGGCCGTATCCAACCTACTTTGATCCCAAAGGGGCCGGATCAGAAAACTCATGTCATATAAACCCCAAAAATAACAATAAGTTCAAATATTTGTGCAGAGAAACACAAATCTATTACAGAAATCTTTTTTAATTGATGAACTCTTTCTTTTACAAAATATTATAATATCATGAACAACCTGAAACTTTAAGAAAAATGCAATTTCAACACAATGTTTTAACATTAACTTGTGTGCAAACAGGAATAAGTCAATTTTTCTTGTAAAATCCTGCACTCGGCTCCACTTTTCTCATGTTGGACATTTTTCTGATGAGGGTGTCACGGTCAACAGTCAAAACGATCGTCCTTTAAGAGCGTTTGGAAAGAGACAAGTCTTCATTTGTGCTGCTCTGGTGGGAGGGGCCACGTACAGAGACGCTGGAGACGCTGCTATGCTAAGCAACGCAGAAAATTACCAATATTTTAATCGAAAATATAATTTAAATATTTTAGTAGAAAATCTGCCGAGGGCCAGATTAAAGGTCTTGGAGGGCCGGATCTGGCCCCCGGGCCTTATGTTTGACACCTGTGTTTTAAACTGTCTAGTGTATTCCGATTCCTGACCTAGTCACAAGAGAGAAATGAAATTGAGCTGGCTAAATCGAATCAGCAATATTGGAACAAAATAGTCAATAAACTAATTACAAAAAGATTAGAAATGATACAAAACATGTGTCAATATTTCTAATGAGATTGGTGGACCTGTCTGTGTTTTTGAAGCGTGTTTCCGTCCGGGTGCAGGAGGAGATCGCAGCAGCAGATCAGGCACAACATTCATTCTGTTTCTGAGCTTTTTCATTTTTGTGAGCAAAGAAAATCCCAATTCACACAAATATGTAGGAGTGAAAAGAATAAGCATAGAAACACACTACTGAAAACAGGATATTCACTCGATCTCATGTGTCAGAAGTGTATATCACAGACCTACATGCAGATTGTGACCAGGTGACCCCAAAAAAAATCTCTTGCAACCCACCTGAGGGTCACAACCCAGTCTTTGAGAAACAATGCTGCATATTTAGACTGAGTTCTTCTCTCAAACAGAAGACACTCTGTTCCACTTTGTGATGTCATGTGGTGATACAGGAAGTGTCCCACTGTGTTTCAAACGTTACACAGTACGGTATAAAACCTATTTATCTCACATTTGTTTAAGTTTGGGCGCTTTTATTGCTCAAATATGTTGAAAAGTATGTTTTCTTTAGTGGGGTCGCCTCTCCATAGATCTAACCAGTAACATGATTGGTAAAGTGATTTGTATAGTTCTAAGTGTTAGTCAGGAGTCTTTCTGTGATTTCTTACTTTCAAATTCAAATTAATAACCAATTTTGAAGAGAGTTTCTTCATTTATTATCTTCATTTGGAGAAAGCACAAATAAATACAAAATATTTACATTCAGAAGTTCATAAGAACAGAAAAAAAAAATAAAAAATCTGCATTAGAACATAGTTTTTTTCCGTTTGTAACATGGATGTCGTGAGTTGGTTGTGGTTTCATCTGTAGCGCTGTCTGCAGCAGCGGCCCATCTTCTTACACTTCTCACACAGGTGCTGCAGGTGAGCTTTGTCTGGGTCCAAATGGTCGTCCAGTCCATCAGGCTTCTCCAACGGACGCTAAAAAGAAGAACAGAATTTTTTTATTTTTATTATTTATTTATTATTTATTTATTTATTTTACCTTATATATTATTTTTTTATTTTGTTATTTTATTTATTTTTATTTATTTATTTAGCCTAGGTGTATATTTTTTATTTATTTATTTTTATTATTTATTTATTTTTATTTATTTATTTTACCTTCATGTATATTTTTATTTTGTTATTTTTATTTTTATTATTTTATTTTACCTTCATGTATATTTTTATTTTGTTATTTTATTATTTTTATTTATTTATTTAGCCTAGGTGTATATTTTTATTTATTATTTTTTTATTTATTTATTTTGTCTGGGTGTATATTTTATTTATTTATTTTATTTTATATTTTTATTTATTTATTTTTTTTATTTTTTATTTATTTTTTTATTTTATTATTTTTATTTATTTATTTTGCCTGGGTGTATATTTTTATTTATTTATTTTATTTTATAATTTTTATGTATTTAATTTGCCTCAGTCTATACCACATAAGCCTAGACTCTACATATGACTCGAAATAAGCTTATGGAAAAAAAGGAGTAAACCTCCTGTTACAAATCCTCAGCTTGCAGGACTAAACCAAGACTCAACCAGGACTAAACCAGGACTAGACCAAGACTAAACCTGGACTAAACCTGGATAATACCAGAACTAAACAAGACTAAAAATAAAATTAAGATTAAACCGAGACCAAAACACTGAACCAGGACCAAAACCGAGACTAAAAACTGGACTAAACTAGTACTTTACCAGGACAACATCAAGACTAAAAACGGGACTAAACCAGGACTAAACCACAACTAAACCACAACTAAACCTGGATAATACCAGAACTAAACCAAGACTAAAAACAGGATAAAATTAAGACTAAACCAGGACAAATTACTGAACCAGGACCAAACCGATACGAAACCAGGACTAAACCGAGACTAAAAACAGGACTAAACTAGTCTAGTACTATACCAGGACTAAACCAAGACTACATCAAAACTAAAAACAGGACTAAACCAGGACTAAACTGAGACTAAAAATTTGACTAAACCAGTACTATATCAAGACTAAACCAGGACTACATCAAGACTAAAAACAGGACCAAACCAGGACTTAACCAAAACTAAAAACAGGACTAAACTAGTACTATACCAGGACTAAACCAGGACGTCATCATGACCAAAAATGTGACTAAACTAGGACTTAACCAAGACTAAAAACAGGACTAAACTAGTACTATCCCAGAAATAAACCAGGACGTCATCATGACTAAAAATGTGACTAAACCAGGACTTAACCAAGACTAAAAATGTGACTAAACCAGGACTGGACCAAGTCTAAAAACAGGACTAAACCAGGACTTAACCAAGACTAAAAACAGAACTAAACGAGAATTAACCAAGACTAAAAACAGGACTAAACTAGTTCTATACCAGGACCAAACCAGGACTGCATCATGATTAAAAATGTGACTAAACCAGGACTTAACCAGGACTAAAACCAGGACTAAACCAGGACTAGACCAGGCCTGACCTGTCTGTGTGGGTACACGTTGATTTTACAGGAGGTGCACTCTTGTCCCATGTTGGCCCAGGAGTTGGCGCTCATCCACTTCCTGCTACACTGTGAGCACTGATATTCTCCAAAACACCTCCTCTTCCCCTGGTACGGAGTCTGCGACAAAACAAAAGACGCACTATGTAACTTTTGTTTTGTTCTGCTCGTCTCCATGGAGATTTGATTGGAATACGAAGTTCAGTTAAAATAAAACAAAATAATTTACATGCCAAACTGTGACAAAAATAAAAATAGACTAAATCAATATCAACTCCAGTGTAAAGAAAACTAAAGGACCAGGTCTAAACCAGGACTAAACCAGGACTAAACCAGGACTCAACACTAAACCAGGCCTAAAACTGGACTAAATCAGTATCAAACTAGAATTAAACCAGGACTAAATCAGGACTAAATATTAAACCAAGCCTAAAACTGGACTTAATCAGGATCAAACCAGGACTAAACCAGGACTAAACCAGGACTCAACACTAAACTAGGACTAAATAAGGATCAAGCCAGAATTAAACCAGGTCTCACCACTAAACCAGGCCCAAAACTGGACTAAATTAGGATCAAACTAGAATTAAACCAGGACGAAACCAGGACTAAACACTAAACCAGGTTTAAATCAGGACTAAACCAGGACTAAACACTAAACCAGGTTTAAATCAGGTCTAAACCAGGACTAAACCAGGTCTTAAACAGAACTAAGTCAGGAATAAACCAGGATTAAACCAGGACTAAAACAGGACTAACCCAGGACTAAACACTAAACCAAGACTATAACAGAACTAAATCAGAATCAAACCAGGACTACAAACTAAACTGTGACTTAGTTGACTTAATTTCTTGAGATTTCATATTTTACATTTTTTTAATTCATAATATAAAATGTTTTCTCTTGTCTTAAATCTGACCTGAACTATTTTAACATGCCTTGTCTCCAAACATTTCCAAAATTCTTACCTTTTTTGTTCCGTTCATTGCTCCTTTTTCCTGAAGTCCTCTTTGTCTTCCTCAAAAAACAGCATCTGAAAAGTTTCTGCGTAGGTCGGGTTTATATAGAGCTGCTCCTCCGGCTGAAAACATAAACAGCTGATGATTTAAGTTTCACTTTAGTTTCCCCTGAAAACGAAACTCATCTAGTGGCCAAACATGGTCACTGCAACCAAAACAAAGTGTCCAAATCAGCTTCCTATTATGATGCAACATTTTGAGGAGCTTTTACCATTTAAAGGACATGATATTTTGTCTTAAATTGTCAATCGCTATGGCAACGTGTGGTCCTAATTTCTCATCTTTCTGAAACCCATGGACAAGAGTGAATGAGACTTGAATTTAGGTTTGATATTGACAAATATTAAGCTACTAGTAAGAGAATTGAACCCACAACCTCATGCAAAAAAGGCTCTAGGATATGTTTAAAGGTGCACTATGTAACTTTTCCGGTGGAGGGGCTGACACCTGCTCGTCTCCGTGGAAACTGTAGTGCTTTGTCTGTAATGTTACACGCTATAAATGTATTCAACTTTAAATTATTTTCAATTTTTGATGATTCAAACGATTATTTTTTAGTTACACAATGTGTTTATTCAGCATTTCTCTCTCAAAAAACACTTTGTTATTGATAATTTACACAAAACTTTCAAAATAAAATACAGGCTACAAATATGAACCAAGACTAAAAACAGGCCGTGTCTGTCCTGCTCGTCTTTATGGAGATAGATAGACAGGTTTAATGCCATACAGTGGGACATTCCAGGCAAAGCAGGCAAGAAAGCGGTGGCATCTCCATGGAGACAAGCAGGTGGCGGACCCCCCTCCAGAAAAGTTACTTATTGTGGCTTTAAATTGCCTCCATTTGAGCACAGTTGAGATGTATAATTTTACAGTTGTTCAAAATCACTAAAGAAAGTGAGGTTAGGTTTCATTCTTCATGTAGAACAACAACAGTGGCTTAAGTTTCTGTTTCGTTGCATCAGCTGTGACAAAAGTGAAACTTAACTGGTTATGTTTAGATTATGATCTCTCTCTCTCTCTCTCTCTCTCATATATACACACACACACACACACAGATACTGGGAAAAACAACGGACATCTAAGTCCAGAAAACTGCAGTACTCTGAACAGCAAAGATACTGCGCAGAACTCTCAAGCTCCCAGGCCTCTGCTAGAGGACCCGAGCTGAATGAGGGTTAGAGACCTACCACCGTGGAAGGTGAGAAAACACATTTTATATATATATATATATATATATATATGTATATATATATATATATATATACATATAGTATATACACACATATATATACACACAGACACACACACATATATATAGTCCGGGTACTCAGGGTCTGCTCCTGTGCAGCCAGGATGAGTCTTTGTGTGTCCTTCAGAGCAGCTCTCTCAAGCCACTGGGAGGATTTCTTGATATCAGCCACTTCAGTTCTGTTCCGGTGGTTCGGTGGTGTAGGGGCTTGTCCTGCCATGATGGTCCCTCCAGCACCTCTTCCTCTGGACCCCACTGTCTGAGACATTCTCTGAGCACTTCCTCTCTTGGGGCCTTGTCCTTGATGTTCTCAAGGAGCTTGGATGTTTCATCCTGGACAGTGGTTCCCACACTCACTAGTCCTTGGCCTCCCTCCTTCTGCCTTTGTGTACAGTCTCAGGGTGCTGGATTTGGGATGAACCCTTCATGCAGGTCAGGAGCTTTTCTGTCTTAACATCTGTGGTCTGTATCTCCTCCTTTGGCCAGTGCATGACTCCTGCTGGGATCTGATCACTGGCAGAGCGGAGCTGTTTATTGATGACTGTTTATTAATCTCAAGAATTAAAGTAAAAAACTTTTTTTTTAAATGTTTTCTGCGCTGAAATGAATCAAGGGATATGTAGTTTCAGATGTTTTTTAACTGTTGCTACTATAAAATCATGTATTTAAGCAAAGGATTTTGTAATTCAATATTGTGACAGCCACAATATTATTGTGAGACTTGATGATACGATATCACCATATTTTGGTTATTATTACATTCCTATCACTTACTAATCTCACTTATATAAATAATAAGTTTATGCACATTACAGTTTACGGAATATAAAAATTAAATATTGGCAAACATTTGTTGGCAGTGCAGTAAGGAGAAGCGTCCACTTCAGATTTCACACAGACTCGAGCGCTTGGGTATTTTTCCTCCCACCATCCCTCCTCCGTTTCTTCTTCTTCTTCTCTCGTCTCGTCCCATCTCCCCTGCACACACAAAGCCTCACATTGTCCCTCTGAACTCTCCAGCAGCAGTTTGCACCATTGTCCCACAAAAGACCCCCTGTCCCCGAAGGAAACAGACCCCCGGCCCGAGCGCTGGACTCACCACATCTGCACAGTGATAATGAGAGGCACTGTGGACGAGAGAGACGAGATAAACACGGAGATCTGTCAAAGTCATTTAGAGACAAAGTTGGTCGAAATGATGAGGAAATTGGACCGTTGCCGTAGCGATTAAAGATTCATCAGACAAAAAAACCTACTCGATGAAGGCCTAGTGTTGAAACGTTGTCCTGTATGTCCTAATAAACCTCACATTTTGCAAGTAACAAATACAGACCAATGCAGTGATATGTTTCTTTGTGTTTCCTCCTCCTCAGACTCTGGATCTGTACGGGCCCTGCTCTCCTCTGGACTCTCTGAACAACCTGGTGGAGGGTCTGTGGTCTTTATCAGATCATTTCTCAGACCTGTCCCTGAGTCCGGACCCCCGAAAACCAAAGAGACCCCCTCCAAACTACCTGTGCCACCTGTGCTTCAGCAAGGGACACTACATCCGGGACTGTCCACAGGTGAGACAAAAGGATTGCGTGGGGCGTGGTCGTTTTTGATGGGGTTGGAGGCTTAAGAGTGCATCTGATTTCCTGGAAAATACGGTATTACTTCGCTATGCCATAGTAGCTGTAATGCTGCAAGTGGTGCGGCTTTGTAGTTTACTAAAGTCGTACTAAGGCTGTGTTCAGACTGCAGCCTGAAGTGACCCAAATCCGATTTTGTGGCCCCTATGTGACCTGTATCTGACCTTTTAATGACAGTCTGAAAGACACAGATCAGATTTTTTCAAATGCGACCCAGGACACTTGGATATGTGCTCCTAAAACCTCCTGGAGAGGAGAATCCGACCGATAGTTAAACCTTCAGGAGGAGCAGTGTAGTTTTTGTCTCGGCCGCAGAACACTGGGGGGTTCATGGGAGTTTGACCAACCAGTCCACATGTGCTTTGTGGATCTGGAGAAGGCGTTTGACCGTGTCCCTTGTGGTGTCCTGTGGGGGGGGGGGCTCTGGAAGTATGGGGTCCAGTCCCTGTACGACCGGAGCAGGGGCTGTGTTCATTGCCGGCAGTAAGTCAGACCTGTTCCCGATGCATGTTGGACTCCTCCAGGGCCGCCCTTTGTCACCGGTTCTGTTCATTGTATTTATGGACAGATTTTCTAGCCGCAGTCAGGGGCCGGAGGGGGTCCAGTTTGGGGACCACAGGATCTCATCTCTGTTGTTTGCAGATTGTTACGACGCAGCTCGTTTGGGGTGAGGGAAGTAACAAAAATAAAACCAAGATGTAAAATGGAATAAATTAAGTAATGTTTAATTAACAGGAATGTAAAGGTAAATTAACAAAACACTAAAAATATACAGAAAACAACCTAAATAAGAAACAGAACAACAAAATAAACAGAGTTTTGTGCCAGAAAAGGGGTCACGCAGGCTTACACAAAAACGAGTGGTAAAACTTAGGGACACACACTAAACTAAAACACAAGTTCCCCAAATTAAACCACATAAACCCACAAACAGAATCGAGTGACCAAATCAAAAAAGGCACAAAACAGAACTAGACTAACACACAAACACAAAACCAAAATGGCAGACTGGCCACCAAGGCCAGCAGCCCCCGAACAGGTGCTGGCAATCTCCTTAAATAGGGGGAGGTGGCTGCAGGTGAAGTGGCGTGGACTTGCCCCACCAATCACAGACCAGGGCTCGTGCAGCAGGAATCAAGAGAACTCTGCAGAAATATTAGAACTAAGGCCTGGGGCCGTAACACAGATGATGTTGTCCTGTTGGCTTGATCAGATCAGGACCTGCAACACAGCCGAGTGTGAAACGGCCGGGATCAGCTCCTCCAAATCCAAGGTCGTGGTTCTCAACCGGAAAATTTTGGTCTTAAAATGTTCATATTTACCTGCTCTACTATACTTTCTCTACTATATTTTGCCCATTAAAAAAAGAAATCCTATTCATCATATAGAAGCTGGCTCCAAATTCACCTCTATAACTGCTTCATTTGACTGGAGCTGAACACTGTGGGCGACTTAACTCCATTAGTCCACTTCTTTACGCTGTGCACTAATCAAAGTCCATTTAGAACAAGGTTCAAGCTCCAATTTGTTGAACTGTATGAAATATTCTCTAATATGTTTAAGCAAAATTGTTCATTTTGAGCAACAAAAGTGAAATAGTTCAGTTCTTTTGGACACAGACGTTTTGATGGATTACTTTTGAACATTTGAACAGGAGCCATAAGAGACTCACACGGCAGAAGAGAAACGGAGTGAGTTTAAAGTGTCGATGTTTTCAGTCCGACCTCAAATATGTAATAATCAAACCTCAAAGCCTCAGACTTTAAATATTTGTCCTGGTCACGTTCTGCTGAAGGAGCTGCTGCACATCCTGCTCCATCCATCACTCCACACTACAGCTCCAGACTCTGACACAGAACTGAGAGAAAAACAACACGGGGCTGGAGATACGGGCGAAGAACGAGAGGAGAGAGAGAGAGAGAGAAGAGAGAGAAAGGAGGGAGAGAGAGAAGGAGAGGAGGAGAGAGAGAGACAGAGAGAGAAGGAGGGAGAGAGAGAGAGAGAGAGAGAGGAAGGAGGGAGAGAGAGAGGGAGGAAAGGGAGAGAGGATAGAGAAACCAACAACATGAGACTGAAGATACGGGCTAAGAAGGAGAGGAGAGAGAGAGAGAGAGAGAGAGAAAGGAGGGAGAGAGAGAAGAGAAGGAGAGAGAGAGAGAGAGAGAGAGAGAAGAGAGAGAGAGAGAGAGAGAAGGAGAGAAGGAGAGAAGGAGGAAAGGGAGAGAGGAGAGAGGAAAGAGAAACCAACAACATGAGATTGAAGATACAGGCGAAGAACGAGAGGAGAGAGAGAGAGAGAAAGGAGGGAGAGAGAGAGGAGAAGGAGAGAGAGAGAGAGAAAGGAGGAAAGGGAGAGAGGAGAGAGGAAAGAGAAACCAACAACATGAGACTGAAGATACAGGCGAAGAAGAGGGAGGAAGAGAGAGAGAAAGGAGGGAGAGAGAGAAGGAGAAAGAGGGAAGAGAGAGGAGAGAGAGAGAGAAACCAACAACATGAGATTGAAGATACAGGGAAGAGACGAGAGGAGAGAAGAGAGAGAGAGAGAAAGGGAAGGAGAGAGAGAGAGAGAGAGAGAGAGAGAGAGAGAGAGAGAGAGAAAGGAGGAAAGGGAGAGAGGAGAGAGGAAAGAGAAACCAACAACATGAGACTGAAGATACAGGCTAAGGAGGAGAGGAGAGAGAGAGGTGAGGGGGGAGAAAGGGAAGGAGAGAAAGAGGGAAGGAGAGAGAGAAGGGAGAGAGAGTAGAAAGTGGGAGGAGAGAGAGGGAGAGGAGGGAGGGAGAGAAAGAGGGAGGGAAGAAGAGAGAGGGAGGAGGAGAGAGGAAGGGAGAGAGAGGGAGTAAAGAGGGGTAGCAGGGAAAAAGGGAAGGAGAGAAACGGGGAAGGAGAGAGAGATGAGGGAGAGAGGGAGTAGAGAGTGGGAGGAGAGAGAGAGAGAGGGAAGGAGAAAGAAGGGAGAGGGAGAGAGAGAATACAACAACATGAGACTGAAGATACAGAGTAAGAACGAGAGGAGAGAGGGGGGGAGAGGGAAGGGAGAGAGAGAAGGGAGAGGGAGAGAAAGAGGGAAGGAGAGAGAGGAGAGAGGGAGGGGGGAGAAAGAAGGGGAGAGAAGAAGGGAGAGAGAGGGAGTAGAGAGGGGTCAGCAGGGAGAAAGGGAAGGAGAGAGACAAGGGAGAGAGGGAGTAGAGAGTAGAGAGTGAGAGGAGAGAGAGAGAAAGAGGGAAAGAGAAAGAAGAGAGAGGGAGAGAGAAAAACAACAACATGAGACTGAAGATACAGGCTAAGAAGAAGAGGAGAGAGAGAGAGAGAGGAGGGGGGGGGTTGAGGGGGAGAAAGGGAAGGAGAGAAAGAGGGAAGAAGAGAGAGAGAAGGGAGAGGGAGAGAGGGAGTAGATAGTGGAAAGAGAGAGACAGGGTGAGGGAGAGAAAGAAGGAGGGGGGAGAAAGGAAAGGAGAGAAAGAGGGAAGGAGAGAGAGAGAAGGGAGAGTGGGAGTAGAGTGAGAGGAGAGAGAGAGAAAGAGGGAAGGAGAAAGACGAGAGAGTGAGAGAGAGAAAACAAAAACATGAGACTGAAGATACTAAGAACAAGAGGAGAGAGAGAGAGAGAGAGAGAGAGAGAGAGAGAGAGAGGGAAGGGGTGAGGGGGGAAAGGGAAGGAGAGAAAGACAGAAGGAGAGAGAGAAGGGAGAGGGAGAGAGGGAGGAGAGAGAAAGAGAGAAAACAACAACATAAGACTGAAGATACAGGCTAAGAATGAGAGGAGAGAGAGAGAGAGAGAGAGAGGGAGGAGAGAGAATGAGGAAGAGAAGGAAAGAGAGAGAGAGAAAGAAAGAGAGGGTGACAGGGAAGGAGAATGGAAAGAGAAAAAGAAAGAGAAGGGAGGAGAGAAGAGGAAAGTGAGGTGGAGAAAGAGGAGGCGGAGAGAGGGAGAGAGGAAGGGGGGGTGACAGGGACGGAGAATGGGAAGAGGAAAAGAATGGCAGGGGAGGAGAGAGGGAGGGGAGGGGAGGAGAGTGAGGTAAAGAAAGAGGAAGAGTAGAGAGAGGGGGAGAGAGAAGAAGAGAGCGTGAGAAGGAGAAAGGGAAAGGTGATGCAGAGAGGAAAGAAATAGAGAGGAAAAGAGAGGAGAGAGAAAAGGTGATGCTGAGGGAGAGAGAGAGGGAGAGACAGGGAAGAGGAGGAGAGGGTGAGAGAAAAAGAAAGACAGAGAAAGAGGGAAGAAGAGAGAGGGAGGAGGAGAGAGGAAGGGAGAGAGAGGGAGTAAAGAGGGGTAGCAGGGAAAAAGGGAAGGAGAGAAACAGGGAAGGAGAGAGAGATGAGGGAGAGAGGGAGTAGAGAGTGGGAGGAGAGAGAGAGAGAGGGAAGGAGAAAGAAGGGAGAGGGAGAGAGAGAATACAACAACATGAGACTGAAGATACAGAGTAAGAACGAGAGGAGGGGGGGAGAGGGAGAGAGAAGGGAAGGAGAAAGAGAAGGGAGAGGGAGAGAAAGAGGGAAGGAGAGAGAGGAGAGAGGGAGGGGGGAGAAAGAAGGGGAGAGAAGAAGGGAGAGAGAGGGAGTAGAGAGGGTTAGCAGGGAGAAAGGGAAGGAGAGAGTCAAGGAGAGAGAGAGGTAGAGAGTAGAGAGGTGAGAGAGAGAGAGAGAAGAGGGAAAGAGAAAGGAAGAGAGAGGAGAGAGAAAAAACAACAACATGAGACTGAAGATACAGGCTAAGAAGAAGAGGAGAGAAAGAGAGGAGGGAGGGGGTTGAGGGGGAGAAAGGGAAGGAGAGAGAGAAGGGAGAGGAGAGAAAGAAGGAGGGGAGAAAGGAAAGGAGAGAAAGAGGGAAGGAGAGAGAGAGAAGGGAGAGTGGGAGTAGAGTGAGAGGAGAGAGAGAGAAAGAGGGAAGGAGAAAGAAGAGAGAGTGAGAGAGAGAAAACAAAAACATGAGA